CATAATGGGGCAACAAATTATCAGTATTGAAAGAGCTATAAAATGAGATATAGTAATCCAAAATTGGACAACTTTACAAAAAAGTTGTTATTCTAAAAATAGTTTTCAGCTATGGATATATCACCTGTATTCATCATAAGAAGATATACTCATCATTCTTAAACATCAATCGATCAATTCCACAGCTTGATTCATGCGGCACATTAATAATAATGACATTATAAGGTTTTTGAGGGCTTTTGTTGGTTTTTGAAGTTGTTAATCATTGCAGTATTGGTGTTATATATCATCAAATGAAGGATTTGGGTGTTGTTATTCCCCTTTTTCTTTGTCATTTTTCATCATCATAAACTCATTTTAATAGTACCTGGTCACTTAAATACACCCTTTGTTGTAGCTATAAAGAGATATTTACTTTAATGTTGTAGTGTTTGTGACTTATAAAGTCTTTGGAAATGATATCAAAATGATATTGTGCTTTTTTCTCTTAGTTATTGGATTGGAATAACACTATAAGTGTTAAGAGTTGAAAAAATTGTGCTATTTCATTCAAAAAACTGTGCCTTTAGTCCTTTGAGAATTAAAATCAGTTACTTTTCTCTTTTGATACTTATTGGTAATCAATTCAACAGAGTTACCTCTTCTGATTGTTATTTTAGGAGGGCATTCTTTAGACATCTTCTACTATTCTTTTATTGGTAGATTGTTGCCTTTACACTCTGTATAAACCTTGTTGGGTTATAAGTTCTATAACAGTCAAGGAAACTCAGTATGTGGAGGATTTGTATGATGTTTTGAATTGGCAATTTCAATGAATTCATCATAGCCTAAAATTGGAGAAGAGATGAAGGACAGAACAAGTCATTGAAGGTGATATTTAATTGAATGATGAGAGTGATCCTTGCACCTTGGTTTTATATATACAAGATGATGTAAAAACCTTTTTAACATTGTGACCATGCAATCATTGTATTCTGCAAGTCCAAGATTGTTGTGTCTTATTTGTTGTCATTGTTGATATTGCAAGAGAGATGAGTAGGGCAAAGGTTACAAGATATTAAGAGAGGCCTGTGTAGTAAGAATTCAGAATTACTGAGGAGGATGGGACAGGTGGGAAGCTAGAACCTCCAGGGAACCCCATTGTCAAAAAACCCAAATATCAGATGGCTTCATGAGTTTTTCTCTTGGTTTTTTTAGGCTGTTGCTATTTGATGCACCAACACCAACGCTGCCACAATACGATACTCGGTATAGTATTGAGGATACCCGGTAAAGTATCTTTTTCAAGATACTGTCTCGAACACGTATTGGTACAGTATAGCCCAATAGGATACAATACTGGATACCGTATCGAATTCCAAGATACTGTTCCCAGCTGGTTTGGGTACAGTATCCTCGATACTAGGTACGATACCGATACGTATCTAGTATCAGTGTTTTTGACGATACCATTACAATACTGATAAAGTATCGCGTATCTTAAACGATACTGGTAAGATATTGAGTATCTCTACACGATACTGGAAAAGTATCGTGTATCTTTGACAATACTATTATAGTATCAAGTATCTTTGGACGATACTGGACAAGTATCGCGCTGTATCACGTATCCCAGTTGCTTTTGTGCTAAATAAGATACTGAAAGATACCGCAATACTATCCAGGACCCCAACCGGTAAAGTATTGGCCTCCGCGGTACTATACTGGATATGGTATCAGATCCCAGGATACCATGTCAGGACCCAGCGAGTACAGTATCGCCGATACCGATACTGAGTATCGGGGGTAGGATACTGCAAAAAAGATACGATACCGATACTTTACTATGATTAGTAAAGTAAAGGTGGCAGCGTTGCCAACACAAACCATGTAGGCATAGGTTTTTCCTACACCTACACGTGGTTTTCGCACCATTCTATGCCTAAATTGAGTATGTAGGCGCAGAAATCCTTGAGGATACGCCTACATTTTGAATTTGGAATGTAGGTGTAAGAAAATGACGCCTACATTTGAATTTCAACATGTAGGCATAAGAAAATGACGCCTACATTTCAAATTTCAGATGTAGGCATCATTTTCTTATGCCTACATATGTATTACGCACCTACAAGGGATTTGACACCCATACATAACACCATTTCACCCACTACAAGATTGTTTTTGACCTGAAAATGGGATATTGGAGGACAGGAACCCATTTCGAGATGCAAAGAGGATATCAGAGGACGTGAAACCCATTTCAAGATGCAAAGAGGATATTGGAGGACGGAAAACCCATTTCAAGACGTGAAGAGGATATTGGAGTGGGTTACCTGTCATATCCTCTTCACATCTTGAAATGGGTTTTGTGTAATCCTTTTACCACAACAGTGCTTGCATGATTAATCACTTCCAGTCTGATTCCTCACCAAAGATGTTGTTCCCCTCACAGGCCAAAGTGTGTCACTTTGTCATAAGTTCCCTGCTTGCCAGCGACTTGCAATGAGCCAGTGTGGGACTTTTTTAAGTATATGACTAGATGACAGGTGCTACATGAAGCTAACCAAAAGTCAGACTTGCAAGTGGAAGACCACTTTGAATGTAATATGCAACACACTTGACATTATTTTTGACCAATAAAGCATTGACAAATTCTAACTAAATAATCCCCTTCCCCATTGGAATCCCACCTTGCCAAACCTCTACCTTGTTTGCACACCAATCAAATGATTGACCACCCAATTGGGCATGTGGGAACTGCAGATGCATGCCATGGTTGCTGGTTTCCAACTTTCTCTCTCACAACTATTAACTGACAAGCTGCAAAAGCCTCCCCATGGGGGCTGTTTTAGTGCACTGGTGGTTTAGTGAGTGTTTGTGGTGATGCTCTGACAGATTAACCTCAGCAATCCAATCAGAAATCCATGTGTACAACCACAGCCCCCATCTACTAGGCTCTGGCCTGCCAGAGCCTACCACTGACTCCATGAAAGATTCATGAAAGATTCAGAAAGATTTCAAAATGACTTCAACATAATATCATATGGGGCCATTTGCCTGTCCAACCACCAAAATTCTGATGTCATCATATGACATCATAAATCTGTACACACCTGCTCCTGTATTCACAGATCAAGAATATATAGTCTATTAAACTTTATCCAGTAAATTGACTGAGTTATTGAGGTTTGAAAAAAAAATCACGGATAAAAAATACTATTTTTGTACTATACATGAGACTGGGATCTTAAATATCTTCAATCTTTGTCAATATACAAATACATCAAATTTGATAATATTTTCCGCACTATGTTTCTTCACATTTCTGTTCCCTACAGCCTTTGTCTACGGGTAGTATTTTCATATGTAATTGCGGATTATATACAGAAGTTGGATTTTCTGAAGTTCTTTGACCCTGAGGAAAATTGTGATGAAATGTAGGGCACAAATTAGGCACAAATAGACTGATATGCATGTAAATAATAATTTCCAAAAGTTTCTGCCATCAATTTATTCATATCCTTCCTAGAATGGGGCACTAGGAGCTTGCTTCTAGATACAAGAATAGGCAATGGTGCCAAGAGTGACAAAGCCCCGACAAACGATGTAAGCCATCCACGTCATTATTGATTTACACTGCTGTGCTCTTTACCACTCCGAATCATTATAAGATCCTCTTTACCTTTTTCACAAGGATGCTGTTTACCCTCATGTCAATCATATAAAGTCTGTGGATGTTCTCAAACTCCGCTTCTCCCCACTCTCATTCTTCTCAAAGGTTTTTTAGAAGATTCATTCCTTAGAAGTATTCTCATATTATCCACGTCCTTCTTATTCTTTCTAAAATAGAATATTTAAGAACTTTTTTCCCACCCTCCTCTCCCTAGATATTGTAATACTTCTTTGGCCGCCCCATGCGGACCTCTTTTTGTGCCTTTGAGTCAGTTGCACATGTATCCTAAACCTATTCCGATAGTTGTTTATTCTACTATGCAATTAGGGCTCCATGCCCCGATTCTGGCTAAACTCTTCACATCGTGAAGTTTAGCACAGATCACCAACAAGCACCTAACCTATTCTCAACAAATCAGGGAAAGATTGGACTACTCATGTAGAAATCACAATTACATATAGAAATATGCCTTTTGAACAAACGCTGCAAAAATAAAAATGGTAGAAAAGTGTACTGTACAGTGGAATATAAAATTTGTTTTATATGTATATTGAAAAGGATTTGAGATATCCAAGATCCCAGTCTTTTGTATAGTACAAAAATAGTATTTTTTATCCGTGATTTTCTTTCAAACCTCAATAACTCAGTCAATTTACCTGATAAAGTTTAATAGACTATATATTCTTGATCTGTGAATACAGGAGCAGGTGTGTACAGATTTATGATGTCATATGATGACATCAGAATTTTGGTGGTTGGACAGGCAAATGGCCCCATATGATATTATGTTGAAGTGATTTTGAAATCCTTCTGAATCTTTCATGAATCTTTCATGAAGCTGTGGTAATCTCTGGCCTGCCAGAGCCTAGTAGCTGGGGGCTGTGAACTTTCATTAGGGAAATTAATCTCTATGAATGTCATCTAACTCATCTGTCAATCACTTGATTGACTCTTCTTGATAAAAACTGATTCTTGGGATCAGGATTCAATTGAGAAATCTGCAGCCTTAATAACATATGTAGCTACTCATGATCAGCATGGCTCAGGACATAATAAGACCATTGGGACACAATCTTTAATTAGTATTGTAGCAGTCATAAGTCAAGATACCTACGTAGCTAAACTCAGTGCAATGGTTTTTATTGTTTTGTTGATTTCTTACTAGTTTCCATCAAGTGTAAAACTGGTAATTAGTGGTACATATGTAGGAAAATGGAGCTGTTAAAAGAATCAACATATGGGTCATTGAAAAACCCACTGCATTCAATGCTTCCTGTGACATTGTATTAAGAAAATCTCACATATGTCTTCATTTTGTGGAAGCCCATTTGATAATACAAAAAAACTATCAAGATTTCTCCCTTTTCAAACAAGAAAGAAACTTATGGTATACATCTTGATTTGGTTGAGATGGTACAAAGTCCATGTTATCATGAACCCAACTATCTCTCCTTTGAATTATAGTCTCATACCAAAGCTCAATTACATACCACACAGGATCCATAGGGAAGTTTTTCTTTACCCTGGACTGACAGAAATAATGTAATGTGTCTTTAGCATCATACCAGCCAACCTCATGTGCTAACTTCTCCTCTTTGGGCAGGATAATTGATGATGTGTCTTCACAAAAACATTTTCTCCATCGAGAAAAATAATCTTGAAGGATATCCCAGCCAGTCTTAAGTAAGATTTGCATCACTTGGTTTGTTAGCTGATTGTGGTGCAAGACAACCAGTACACCCACAAAGGCTGGAACCATGAAAGATTTAACTGCTTTGATTACATTTTGGATCTTCATCAAGTCAAGGATCAGATCTGTATTCAATGTACCATTTATTGAATGGATGCATTCTATCCAGCTTTGTTCCATATCTTTTTCAAGACAATCAAAGAATATTTGAATGCTTTCCAAGATGTCCTTGTGCTTTTTCAACACAGACATGCCAATCACTGCCACATAATTTGCAGGCCGTTTACCTTTGAATTCTTTTAATTTAGCCACCTCCAGCTCTGAAAGATGTGGGATCATTGAGATTGAGAATTCAAAGGTTGGGAATGAGGGCTTATCTTTCACTTTACTAATCTCAGATGTCAAGACCTTCTTCCCTCTGAGTTCTCCTTCAGATAAAATTGCAGAAAGAAATGAATGTGTTGAGAATTCAATCTTGCAATGAGGTGGCTCAAAGATATAATATTTTGTCCAATTTGAAATCAATGCTCCTATATAGCTTGGTTGAACAGGGGAGTATTGATCACGGTCCAAGATGTACTCTGGTAAATTTGAAGGGCTTGACAAGTTGTCTGGATCATTGTTTAATTGTAATGAAAGTGTACTGATTTTGTTTTGACTAGGATAAAACACTTGATTCAAATAATCTTGAAGGTAAACCCATCCATCAGAAACTAGGTCTTTCATTGAGACATCTTTTTGACTTCTCTGACAGATTAAACTCAGGCCCCCAAAGAAAGCAATAACAACATCTTTCTTGACCCTATTGATTGCAAACTTGACTTGATATGGGGTACAGGGGGTGATTGATGAAGACCAAAGTATTGAGTAGAATTTGTTGTCTAGCTTATCAAAGAAAACATCTATCTGTCTTGACACCTCAGGATTGTGCCATAATGCTAGCATTCCTTTTGATTTGAGTAAATTAGCTAGACTTCTGGATTGAAAGTGGGAATAGTGAAAATTAAATTGATTCTCTACTCCCTCAATCTTTGGCACATTTTCTGGAACTTGAAACTTTGATTTTGCATTCATTTTTTTCTTAGATATATGTACCCCATGTTGAACTCCAAGAAGCTTTGCCTTGTGTTTTTGTTTTTTGATGTTGTGAGAGTTTTGAATGATTCTGGGATCAGAACTTTCTGCCAAAAAATCAAACTGGTTTCCCTTCAAATATGCCACATTTGAATCCTCATTAACCATAGTGTGTTGAGATTCTAGGACTGGAAATTTTGTGGAGATTGTCATGACTGCCTTACTGAGCAATACTAGGAAAACACATTTTCCAATATTTTTCTTGATTACCAGAGTTTTGTTTAGATTGATTTCAGCCATGATGTTGCTGTTGATCCGTTGATTTAGAAGAGAATCCAGAATTTAGTATTTTTAGAGTGTATCAGCCTTTTAAGAATAAATTGACTTACAAATCAAAAGATTTGTTCCTTGCTTTCTGGGCAGTGTTGTTTGTGGTCTTCAGAAATAGATCTTTTTATATTGTTTGTTCCTTGAAGTTAGCGGTAGCTATGTGCCTGATACACTGCCAGCATTAAAGAGGTTCCCAGATGGGAATATGGGTCCTAGTGATCAGATTCCCATTCTGCTACTGTTACACAGTTCCATGAATATTGCCTGAGTAGCCATTGTGATATATGTAGTCAATATTTTGAAATGTGTGTCTCAATCTGAACAAAGTTACAGCATGTATTACACATGATTTCCTTATCTAGATGAGCAGATAACTGAGCGGACCTGTATGTAGCTGATAGCTAAGGATTTACTCAGATGTTTGCACATATGTAGTGTATGCTTTATGGCTCAGATGATTTGTTCCTTGCTTTCTGGGCAGTGTTGTTTGTGGTCTTCAGAAATAGATCTTTTTATATTGTTTGTTCCTTGAAGTTAGCGGTAGCTATGTGCCTGATAGATGTTGGATGGTGCTAGGTGAAAAGATTGTTAAAAATTTCCAAGTACTAGCTTGTGATGTATCCCTTCAAACTCCAAGAAAGATGAGGGAACAACTTTTCTGTGTGGCAAATGAAGAATCATGAGACCAATGCCACATCACTACCAACCAGGCAATAGAAAAAAATATCTCTGCAAGTCTGACCAATTAGTCTGACAAACCTCTTGAGATGATAAAAAGTATGACCAGGTAGTCAGACAAACCTCAGGAGGTGATTAAATGGAATGCTATTCCAAATCATTGCACCAAACTTTATTAGAATAAAGAGTGTCATTTTTTTAGGGGATTTTGCTTTGCTACAGACTTTCACGTATGTAAAGAACAAATTGGATAAACAGACTAAATTTACGGCAATGATTAATAATAGAAAAATTTACAAGAATCTTGAGTTCTGTTTTGAGTGGGCTCAATGTTATGCAGCTCCCTTATGCAGAAAGGTCACAAACACTGACCTGTCTCAGGATGATCTCTGACTTTCAAGGGTTGAATTTGTGAGCATGTCTCAAATTGCTACAGTGTTTGCAGAAATGTATAGATCAGACAATATAGCTAAGCTCACCTAATGAATGATGGTGTTTGCTATTCAACCCTTCTGATGATAGCAATTAAGGTACTCAAAGTAAGCATATACATGTATATGGTTCTTCATATATAGTTTTTTTGTGTTTTTGAAACCATCTCGAACCTGCAAAAAGTTTTGTTTTGGTACAAGTTTAGACTTTTGCCAACACCAGATTCAATGTGGTGTTCTGATCAAGATACATACAACCACTATGACCAACTAATTGTCACCACTGACAAACCAAGCCATTAACCCAACTTATTATCCAAACAATACCACAGAAACTCCCTTCAATAACCTGAATACAAGTGATTTGGTGTGGAGTGTACCTCATTGTCTAACCAGTGTGGCCGCAGGCCAAATTCTAAGTATAGAGTTGAAGTTTGCTCTTGACATCCGCGCCTGCTGGAATTAGTTGCACAGGCTCAGAAACATATGTGAATATGAGATATCTGATAGAACTTACATGTCGGGGAGAATTTTGACCAGTCCCATTGAAAACTTTTCAAAAGTTTAGCTCTTGGAAGGTTCAAGTGACTTGTGGATGCTTGGTTCAACATATCAGAGGTAACGGCAAATGGCTTGCTGAGACTTCATGAAAGCGTCAAAGTTGCTGCTGGCTTTGCCAAAATTGTTGAATGCATGAACAAGGGAGAGGGAAGATGAAGACTTCTTTGGAGTTGTCCAATAGCATCAGAGCAGCAATTGGTTATCAATTTAAAGTGAAGACAGGCGTATAAATTACATAGGAGGGGGGTTGAGCGGTTGAAAGGAGGCCATATAAGACACGGGCACTCACTCGGTCTCGAGCAATCTCAAGGAAGATTTCTTGCTGTTGGCCAACACGTGAAACTTCAGAAATTACAAGCAGCATTTTGATGTAGAGACGTATTTCAGGTGTTTTTTAGCTTGACCCCCCCCCTCATCCAGGATGAATGAAAATCGAATGTGGGAAGAGGGGAGCAATTATCTGTCATCCTCAGCAATTCATAGAGGGTTTTGCTGATGGTCACTGTCTGGTAGTTTGTAAGCGACTGTCTGATCAGGCTGGGCTCGAGCAAGTTTGCCGAAGATCGATAGGCAACTCTTCTGACTGAGCTCAATCAATGACAAATATCCACTCCAGCTCCAAGAGTCCAGTAAGATCAGCAAAAGTGACTTCGTTAGAGTTTTCTGTCACCTGGACTTCTCATTCATGTTGCACAGCTTGGCAGTGTAGTCTTCACCCAAAAAATCCCTCAAATCTTTTCACAAAGATCAAGACCACCTTCATCTTCACTATACTCATCTTATTGGTTCTCTCTTCTTATGATGATGGATTTCGATTGTAAATATTCATCTGTTTGACTTGGAAAGACTGTTTACCAAGTGTTGAGAAGACCCAAGCACGACCATGATCTCTGATAGCCAAGTTCACAGCTTTGCACAACTCTCATCGAGAGACCGAAAGTATTTCGTATGATCTTAATAAGCTACATCATATGGCCAACTGACCAGCCTGTGTAAGTCAAGATCAAATCACCATGATCTTGGCAGCCTTTTCGCTATTCCGTGTCGAACGAGATCCAATCTTACTCACCTTTTGTTATAAATGTGACCATCGTCCTGCTTTATCGCACTTTCCTTTTCACTTCATCATTTAACTTGACATTGATAATATTATTACTTTTAATATCTTCACTTTATATACTTTCATCATGAGTCTTACTTCTTTTTTCATCCTCGCGCTCGCTATCTCTGGTGCTGTTTCTCAAGCTGTGATGGTCAACACCCCTAGTAAGTCCTATTTACCTCGCCTTTGTCGCCCTCAACTCTTCTTCAATTACTCTCACTGTCTTCCAAATCTAATCAGCATGAATTGATCGCTTCAGCCTCCGTGGTACAATGTTTACCTGTTCAGCTCAGTGTAAGTGGCTCTTCATTCAAGACAATACTTCACTATTAGCTCGTTATAGGCTTTGAATACGCTGTCCATCTAACTGTTTGCCTATCACAGTGGTCTGGTGGTCAACCTCCTTACTTTATATCTCTCATTCCTGGTGGTCAAACGACTGCCATTCCTCTTGAAGACCTTGGTCAACAAACGGGTACCAGCTTCACTTGGTCAGTGGACCTTCTATTCGCATCCATATCTTTGGGACCCACATTGATCAAACTCTTTGCACATTGACATATTCAGGAAAGTCGATCTACCTGCAAAAACAGCAGTTAATCTTCAAATCCGTGATAGTGTTGGTGTCTTGAATTACTCTGATCAGTTCACGATCCAGGACCCTCCTGCTGGCACTACCTGCGACACGACCGGTAATGGCACCACTACTGCTCCTACTCCTATGACAACCGGAACTGTCTAAGGTTCGTGAGTATCTTTTGACCAAACACGCAAACGTTTCCCTCTATTGCCTTTTCTTATCTTTTGATTCTATTACAGTGTCCAATAATGATTTGAAGGGAACCCAGCAATAATCATAAGTGATAGTGGATTTATATACAATCCTCTTGAATTCACAACAAACGTTGTTCTTGTATTTTCTACTCTTTTCAGTTGTCTTTTGACTACATGCAGTGTATCTACATCACTAACGTATATATATCATTAAATTAATAATCGTCATCTACTCTTTTGAGAACCCAAAGCATTTTGAAAACATATTGAAAAACGCGAATTTGAGAGAGAAGAATCAACTGGAAAATGATAATAATCAAAGGAATGAACAGAACGAGATCTGATGAGCTATTCGGTGAAGTAAAAAAATCACATGCGTTTGCAAGTTCCTTTTGCTCTCTTTTGCTCAAAGATATCTTATCTTTAAACCTCATTCACATATTTTTTTAACAGCGATTGGTGATCAGATTAAATTAAGTCGATGATCATCAAGACGTTTTTTTTACTGACACCATTCTTTATGTGGACCTGTTCTTTACCTTTCAAATAGGTTTCAAAACCTTTCCTTCATTCAAATCCTATAAATCAATTAGCGATCATTTCTTTGGAGAGGTTTGGTCTCGATTCATTATGGTTATTTAGAACATTCTGATTTGATTTGCAAATATTTTGATCAATTGGATAAGACTGATTTCTTGGTTTTTTTCCTACGCTCAGGTGGTGATGCATCGCAATTCCAATTCTTTCTTGTTTGTTTTTTATGTGGTGATTCAATTTCCAGATGGTTGACTGTTGTATGCCTGTATTACAATCCACTTTAGATAGTTTTTCTGCTTATCTTTCATTTTATCTTGCCCGAGGAGTCTCAAGAATCCGGATATCTGCACTTGATGATTTTTTTGTGGATTGTTATGTGAGGTATTCACATTCCGAGTGCTGTGATATACACGTTGGGTTTTTTGGGTTTGTCATCTCTGGTGTGGATGCGTGAAACGCATTGGAAGTGGCTGAGCAGAATAGAGAGCAAGTGATGACCTACTATCGACTGTCACGATTCAGATTCTGAATTTCCCTGTCCAAGACTCAAGTTGATGAGATGATTAGGTCTAGTTGAATTTGAATGCTGATGAAACAGAAATAATTTGAATCTTGATAGAGAATGAGAAAGATGATAAGAAGTAACTTGAGATTCAAGATCAGCAATACTATCAAATCATATCAACTTCATCATCATCGCTTCTCAACTGTTGCTCAACTATCAATACCACCAACATCGACTTCAACACCATCACTCTCTGAATATCCACCTGAACTCATTCGTTCGTTTTGTATCATTGCACGTAAGTTACATGATCACAAAGACATTCTAACGTTCTTAAGAGATAACTTTACTGATAGACTCTTCATTCTAACCAGATATCGATCATGGCAAATCAACACTTTCGGATCGTTTACTTGAGCTCACAGAAACAATACCAAAACTGACTCCTATCGCCCACCAAGTTTCTAATCCATCTGAACCACCACTTCGGAATCGACAAGTACTTGATAAACTAGTGGTCGAACGTGAACGAGGTATCACCGTCAAAGCGGTCTCAGTCAGGTTCGCATCGAATTTGATTCCATCGAATGATAGACTTTAGAAATTTATAGACTTCTTTTAATTTGGGTTCAAAGCATGTTTTATTCACCACCGGATCAACCCAAGAAAAAGTACCTTCTCAACTTGATCGATACACCAGGTCATGTAGACTTCAGTACCGAAGTTTTAAGATCTTTAACGGTAGCAGATGCAGCGATCTTATTAGTCGATTCAACCCAAGGCATCCAATCCCAAACTCTCTCAGTCTTATCATCAGCATTACGTCGAGAATTACCTATCATTCCAGTGTTGAACAAAATCGATTTACCTGCTTCTGAACCTGATAGGATAGGAAACGAATTAGCCAAACTTACGGGTGTTAAAGAAGATCAAGTCTTGAGGATTAGTGCAAAGACTGGGATAGGAGTTGAAAGGTTATTGGAAAGATTGATTAAGGAGGTTCCGATACCTAAAGGTCAAAGTGATCAACCTTTGAGAGCCTTTGTCTTTGATTCTTGGTTTGATCACTTTCATGGTGTTGTCTCATTGGTTAAATTGGCAGATGGAGTTTTGAAAAAAGGTGAGTTGATTACACCTTCCTTCACGATCATTGATTTTATAAACTTCAAGATCTTCTCATCTATCAAAGTGTCAATATTCATTTATTTTTGTTGTAGGGGATAAGATACAATCTTACAAAACGGGAAAGATTTTTCAAGGTCAGAGAAGTAAAATTGTATCTCTCCAATGAACCTTTATTTTAATACTGTCTTTTTCACATATACAAAACCAAAGTGGCGGATTGTGGAATAATGTATCCAGAACAAGTTTCGATTCCAACCGGACTTCATGTAGGACAATGTGGATGGGTAACATGTGGTATGAAAGACCCTTCTCAAGGTTTGTTAAAAAAAATTCTTTTCACATTTTTTTCCAACACCAAGTTTTTGATCAGTGAGGTAAGATAGCGATTTTGGGCGACACATTCTATGATCCAAAGACTCCAAGTGAAGATTTCGAACCAGTGGAAAGATCGATTGAAGGAAGACAATCGATGGTTTTTGCTTCCCTTTTTCCGGTTGATTCCGTGGCTGGTTTAGATAAATTAACTGAAGCGATTGATCAGGTTGGTTTCTTTCTTCCTGCTCTCTCTTCCATGAAACACATGCGAGTAGGTCTTGATTAGAGGTTGAGTTGGTAGTTGATTTTGAATGATCGCAGTGTTTCGGTACAGAAAGAAGCTAGTGTGGCTTTAGGTCAAGGATTTCGGTACGTATTTTAGTTTATACCTTGCCTTAGGGAATGAAATCTTATTCTATACGGAGTAGGTTGGGATTCTTGGGTACGCTACATATGGATGTGTTCAAACAGCGACTCAGTGATGAATACGGAACCGAAGTGATTGTTACTAGACCATTTGTACCACTTAAATGTCAGTTGTCTTTCAAACTATCTTGAAATTTTGTGTGAAGATACTGATTTTTCAAACTTGAGGATTTTTTAGTAATAGCGGATGGAAAAGAAAAAATGATTAACAATCCGATTGAATTTCCAACGGTGGGAATGAAAAAAGTTCAAGTCTTAGAAAGGATTGTCGAGGCTTCAATTGTTGTTCCTGATCGGTATACTGGGCCCGTCATCGAACTTTGTGCAGTCAGTTTTCAATTACCTTGATATTGACTATCCGAGCTCTAGATCTCATTATATGATTTATGTGTTTGTAGACTCATCGAGGAGAACAGAGCTCACTTGAATACCTCCCAGCTTCTGCCACTTCACCAGACTCAAGCCAACTAATCAAACTAGTCTATCAAATCCCATTATCTGAAATCGTCACAACATTTCATTCATCATTGAATTCCATCACGGCAGGTTATGCAAGCTTTGATTACAAACCTAAAGATTTCAAACCTGCTGAATTGGTTAGGTTAGATATCATTGTCAATGGCAGTGATCCTGTGGATGCATTTGCTACGGTTGTACATAGGGATAAAGCATTGAGAGAAGGTAAAGCTGTTTTGGGTCGCTTGAAGGGTGTGATGAGACGTCAGGTTTTCGAAGTTGTGCTTCAGGCTACTGTTGGAAATAAAGTGATTGCTAGTGAAAGGTAAGGATTCTTTTAAATCTCAAGAGTTCTCTTTGTTGAATTTTGATTTTTTTAGATTATCTGCTGTACGGAAGGATGTTACTGCTGGATTGTGTAAGTGTTGTTTCTCCGAAAGATGAATCACAAGAGAGGTTTAAATTGACTGTGTTTATCACCCATGATGATTTGTTCAAATAGATGGAGGTCATTATGAACGTAAAGTAAATATCTTATACTTGTTGATCATTAGCTCAATTCGACTGAATTGCACAATCATACATTTTCTCTAATGTGTTTTAATTTCAATCCTCTCTGTTTAGATGAAACATTTAAATAAACAAAAAGAAGGTAAAAAAAGATTAAAGATGATGAGTATTGGAAATGTTGAATTACCTCAAGAAGCATTTTCTGCAGTACGTAGGAAATTCTTTGATTCTTGATCAATTCTTTCTTTTACATTGATAGATTTTTGGGGTTTTGTGAATTTCGTTTAGGTCTTGAGTGTGGATGGAAAAACTGTACCTGTTAAAAGAAATCGAAAATAAAAGTATATTTGATGTTTATATTTAAGTGGTAGGTAGGTTTGATTTTGAATGATTTCTTAGTTCATTATTTTGGATTGAAAGATAAGTTTGTAGGATGTAAGATGTCTTATGATAAGATTTACTTTGATTGTTTACTTTGAGGGTTTTTTCATAAGCATAGAGAAAGTGACATGTTACAGAACATTGAGAATCTACACTTGCTCAAGGTTTATATCTGCCTATTCATCTAGATATGTGATGGCTTTTTCTCAATGGCAAAGATTTCGGGGGTAAAAATGGATAGGGCCATCCTACACACAAATATTGAGAGAATGACCCTAGCTGGCAGGTCAAAGCACCCACATAGTACATACATACCAAGAGAAGAAATTCCACTTAAAGGGTCATAACATGCCGCCATTGCAATTGCTGTTCTGTGCAGATAAGGTCTAGATTGATTCTTGAATTAGTATCTAAAAGAGCCTTGACCAAATCACCAGCCACTGTTGAGATAAAGGCCTCCTATTTTTCAAATAAGATAGAATCTGATGGATCAAATCTCTGTTTGGTGGTGATGGTTCAAAATCCAAGGTTTTGACCCCTGGTGACACTGTTTGGAATTATAGTCTCATACCAAAGCTTATAAAGAAACCATACAGTGACTGCATTTGATCCCTTCACAATTTTGCTCATAGTGATTGATGTTGTTTCTTCAAAGAAATCTGTCATCCAAGATAAGCATTAAGGGTATGCCAGCAAGTTTCTATTAAGCTTTCAATGACTTGACAGCCTGGTTTTGATGTAAGACAAGTGTCATACCCATAAATACTGGTATCATGGAATCTTTGCAACTGACAAGATCACATTCTGTAGTATGATTAAGTCAATCATCATCAATGTGGAGTTATCTATTTTCAATTTGCCACCAATAGCATGTATGCCTTCTAGTAAGTAAGCTTTTTTTCATGTCTTTTGCAAGGCTTCCAAAAAATGCCTATGTTATTCCAACACAGATTCATCAAATCAATTCTTGAAAGGTATAGTGTAAGGGATCTACCATCAGGCTCTGTAGTATTTTGAATCATTGAACATGAACAGTGAGAACTTATTGTTGAGGTCTGAAAGAAATGAATGGTGCTAAAAATTCATTCTTGAATTGAGGAGTTTGAAACATATGTCCTCTTACCAAATTTTTGATTCAAATGGAGCAGTGCTGGTCAAGCTTCAAAATGTACTTCATTAAATCACATGATGGCAAGAGGTCACCCAAGAAGCTCATGTGGTCAAAAGAGGTCACCCAAGAAGATCATGCAGTCAAAAGAGGTCACTCAAGAAGCTCGTATGTGCAGCAGTCTCTGGTATACTAGCTGTGAACATTCATCTGGTTTATCGTGACTAAGATCAAACACTCTTTTCAGGTAAATTTGGAGATACACCCATCCAATGTGAAATGAATCTTTAATGAGGAGCTCTTGCAGACTGTCTTGATACATCATGCTTAAGTTTAACCCCCCAAAATAAGCAATTACAAATCTCTTCTCCCTTTTTGCTTTTAAATTAAGTAAACTAGAGCTAGCCCTCTGAAATGAGACTGCAAATAGGAAAAAGATCTTTCTGTTGATTTTCTTTTTTAGAAATTTTTTGAACCTTGAGAATTAGATTCTGGTAAGTAGCCATGTGCACAGGTCTCAAATCAAACAAGTTCTTCTTTCTGTTTTAATTTTCTGGTCCTATGAAAAATGTAGAACTTCTTAAGACCCAATATAAATGCTGGAAAATCTAGCTGATCACCCTTGCAAGATCTGGTCATGTTGAAACCTCATGACTTCCACTGGTGTTGGACTTTAAATCAAGAAATTCTGTGGATTCTGAAATTGTAACTCTTCTTCTTTTTGGGATCAAAGACTCTAACAATTCCTGAATGCTTATGTGTAAGTATAGTGTGCATTTCTTCAGATACGGTGTTCCAAAGTGACATCTTATCATATTATAGAGGGTTAGTGAAAGATTTTAGTACTTCAATATTTGTATCTTGCGTCAAAAAACTCCCAATGTATTTCAAGCAAATAGATAAATCAAGAGCATCTTCATGTTTTTTTTGGGAATGAGGTTACTTTTAGGATACTGTTTACACAAAGAATTCTTAGTAATCAATACCATATTCAAGGTATCCTTGAAGACGATTTTTTATACCAAGATTAGTAAGTATGAGTGCCTATACCAAAAGTATCAAGATACATGAAACTCTTGTTTTTCTTGTTGATAAAAGTCTACTTTTTTCTCAAATTTGAAAATCCTTTTCTAGAAAGTTTGCTAGATATTGGAAATTGGCAAAATCAAGACTCATTCTATGATTGTCTCTTATCAACTTCAAGCCATCAAACTTTTCTTGCAGGGAGTTTTTCTTGTTGTGCAAGGATCATGACACTAACATCAGTTTGAATTTAGATAATGGTGACACACATCTTTTAAACATAACAGTGATGTGCTCAAAAGCCTGGTGCAAAAAGTGAGTAGAAAAGATCTTTTAAAGCAAATGAACAAAAAAGGCATGATGAAGAAGTACAATGAATACAGTTGATTCCATCACCGCACCACCAGAGGCCCAAATGGCAAAGGGATAAACATCTGTGTCGGACTTCCTTATGGAATCCACACAGGAAGGGCACGGGGCCACAGCTCCATCTGTGAAAGTTGTATCTGGCTATCCCAAAGTGGTATGCCAGAGGCTTTTGGTTGGTGAGGCAACCCAAAATTGAACAATGAGTCCAACATATGGTTGGAGCTGGCTATGTGCCACCCTATTTTTTTTAGTGTCATAAACTTGACTTAGAAAAATTGGGAAATTTGATACTGATTGAACGGGGCTGAATTGCTTACAAGTTATTTAAACTGCGCTTGAATGATTACTTTTCAGACCTTGCCCAGTCCCTATTATCAATGGAATGGGTCTTGTCTTGGGGCAGCAAGATGCAAGTGTGGCTACCAAAACGGGCCTGTGCCCGGAATGTATTTCCCCCATCTTTGCAACCAGTAAATAGGGAGAGAAATAGCAAAAAAGAGACGACACGTGTCGTGAGGGCAGATAACTATTTCTACATTTTGTTGTTGGAGGGAGCAGGAGGGCAGGTAAATGGAAAATTTTCAAACGAAATAATCTGTAGACTCGTGCCTTGAATGAACTACAGTATTAGAGTGTATAAAGGCTTTGATGAAAACCTCAACTAATCTGTATTAGGGGTTGGGCAGAGCGCTGCAATAATTCAATTCAACTGTAGTTTAATCTTACTTGCACTCGAGTAAGCCACTGTTGAATCCTGTTGGAAACAATATCAAATATCATTATTTTTTTGGTCCACTTTATTGCAGTAAAAAGAATAGGGTGGCTGATGAAGAAGTACAATGAAGACAGTTGACAAAAGTGAAATAGTAGAGACATAGGGCACATTCACTTGAGGGGATTCTGACCAGAAATCACATTCTGTGAATTTTTTGATGCAAAAATGAAACATGCTCCACCAAGTAGACACTTTTAGGGTGTGTTCACTCAAGCAATTTCTGTTCAGAAATGAAATTGCATTCTACAACATTTAAGATGCTGCTTTGGTAGAGTATAGTTCATTTTTGCATTTTAAAATTTACAGAATGTAATTTCTGTTCAGAAATTGTTTAAGTGAACACGCCCTACAGCCATTCCGATATTTGTTGTCACTCACATTTTTGAAAAGAAAAAGTTTATGAGCTTGAAACCTAAGTTTTAACCAGTTAAAACCTGAAAAATGCTGTATCTCCTTGAATTACAGCCAAATTCAAAGTTTCATCGAGTAAAAACTTAGAGCGCGTTTGTTTAGCCCAGTTTCCTAGAATTTGGTTTCTAGGAGACATCTTTTCTACATGTAGAGAAGTGATTTTCGTGAAAAAAAACGAAATCTCACTTTTTGAAAGAAAGAGACAAGAAAGCTTGTGAAAAGCGTTTGTCTTGGCAACCATCAAGCAACAAAACATCAGAAAGTACATGATCAGTGGTGGTACAGACAACCACCACCAATCATGTCCAATTCATCTGATTCAAACTCGACCACCTCCTCATCTTCTTTTAGAAGAAGCAAGCTTCTTAAGCTCGTTATCCAAGCTGGTACAGACTTCCTAAAGACTCTAACAAGGCCCAAGATCCCGTGTCGAACATCAAAACTGCGAGGAAACAAATATACAAAAGAGGTCATGGAAGGAAGCGACGTACGGTTTTTGGAAGTCTGCCGGATGGATAAGCTTGCCTTCAAGGGCTTAATGAAAGCCCTTGAAGGCAAGCTTACTTTGTTGTTCCAAAAGGTATGTTTGTTATCATGTCCTTTTGATTATCTTGGTCTTAGCTGATCTTTGTCATATTTCAGATCACTTTTACGTTGCCGATGCTGGCTATGCAAATGTTCCAGGGTTCCTCACCCCTTATCAATCAGTTCAATACCATTTGAAAGAGTGGCGCCATTCAGGTCTTACACCACAGAATCCAAAGGAGTTGTACAACCACCGACATTCCTCACTTCGAATTGTCATTGAGCGGATCTTTGGAATCATGAAGATGCGCTTTCCGATCTTGGCAGTCATGCCATCCTTTCCGTACAAGACTCAAGTTAAGATTGTTATTGCATGCTGCGTACTTCACAATATAATCCAAATTGAATCCGGAGAAGACGAGTTTTATGAGGAATACACTTTAAAAGAGCGATTGGAAGCAAGGCTCACAGGTGATAATGATGACCCAGACTGGGCTCACCCCACCGCTCAGGAACACGCTCAAGCAAGCACTATGAGGGATTACATTGCCAAGATGATGTTTGATGATTATATTCACGCTCCTGCTGCTTGTAGACACGTTTGAGGTCTTTAACCTTTCCTTTGAAATCTCGGACATTATTTTATTTGTTCTCACTCTCGAATCACACTTGCAGTTGTTTTTAATTGGCACATGTTATTTGCATTTTCATTTTTACTTTCTCAATCATTTTTACGAGTAATTGTTGTTATAAAAAAATTATATGATAATAATAAGATGATTAGGATCATGTTAAGCTATTGTTGTACAATCGATTTTGGAGTGCTAAGATACAAATGATAATATGAGAATACATATATCTGAATACATATATCTAAATTATAATGATCTTTCTTTTAAAGAACAAACAAAGAGAATCATTTGAATGATTCCCTATTCATACTCTGCTGATACTCCTGCTTCCTCTTTCAACCAATTCCAGTGATTATCCTTGTGCATATGGAAGAAGAAAGAGGCTGTATCATCCTCTTTTAATTTGTTTGCTACTTGGTTGATGTGAGCTGGTTTCAGTTCGTTGCGGAATTCAGCGTTGAATATTGCCATCGCTTCTTTACGTTTTGGATGTTGTTCTAATTTCATCTTTGCTATCGTGATTCTATCGCTTTCAGCTTGATCTTCTAATTCCACTGCTCGATCAATTGACTGGGCTACGAGCTTTGGGCCGGTCGTGCGAGATTGTTTGGTTGGGGGTTGTGAGTTGACAGGACTCCTCTTGCTGCGGACAAACCTCAGCTCAGGAGTATCATCTTCATCTTCTTCAAGTTCACGCCTAGTTAATTTCTTATTCTAATCATGAGCCAATAATAAAATCAGTCAATGTCATCCCACTGATGTTGAATGATGTACATACCTTTCCTTTTTTATTCTTGGGAGGAGGGCTCGGACTAGGACTAGCAGGCTGTGAGTCACTTTCATTCTTACTACCCTTCTTGTAATCACTACCATCCTTGTTGTCCTTGTCTTCGCTATCCACTGGTGGATCCGTAGCCATCCTTCTGATTGACTCAGATTCGGATTGAATAGAAGCTGGATTGAAAAAATAATGAAAATGAGAGAAAAAACAACAAAGGGAAAGAAAAGTAAAAGATTGGAAAATCTTACAATTGTCTCCATCTGGTTCCTCGTCATCATCATCAGCTCCCGGCTTATCCTGGATTGATTTTCGTTTCTTGCTCTGAGTTCCAAGTCCACTGTCACCGTTAGCTCGTAAATGCTTTTCAGGCATTATTTGGGAGACAGCTTGATACGCAGGAAACCCGTTATTCTTGATAGGGATTGCATCCTTGTTTCCAGCCTAGATGTATAAGAAGGATAGTTTGAAAAATAAAAGAAGCATAAGAACCTCAGTGAATTATATGATGAAATCGAGATTGTACTGACCACCTTAATCCAAGCATCCCACCATTCTTTATCGGCATGCACTGTACCCGATGTATATCAACCCCAGGAGCTCCAGAGGACACCATAATCTTATCGAATGCTTTGTAAGTGGTCTTGAGCTGGTTTTGTAAGGTATGAGAATGATGATCAGCCGAGATGAAGTGAAGATGGAACAGAGGAAAGAAAAAGAATGAAAGACTGACCTTTTGAATATGATTCTTTAATCTGTTCAAAGGTTCTTTGGTCTTCCATCGTTTGTTGTAAGCTTCGAGGACCTGCTTCCACGCAGCGCTTTTAAGTCCTCCATTTTTACCATGTCCAAGATTGACTTGATGTCGAAACTTGTCAATAAGCCAAACCGTACATTGATGCTTCCATACACCACCACTACTAACTTCAACTCCTGAGTCATTTTCTTGTTCTTTATTCTGATCATTTGACTTTGACTTTTTCTTATCATTTGAGTCATTGATTTCATTCTTCTTCTTTTCTTTTGATTTGTTCGCTTGATTCAGATTCA